CATAGCTAGGATGGATACTGACACTTCATAGGTCCCTAGTCTTTCATGACCAGCAGTGGGAAGAAGAAGGCAGTGGGTCGGGAAGTTGATGCACCTCCTTTCCATCTGCATTCCTCTTGCTGCTGGTTGTCTCAGGAAAGAGCCAAGAGAAGTGACCTCTATGAAGCATCTGTAGCCTTCCTAGCTATGGGGTTGGATTGGCCTCCCTTCCCCAGCAGTCATCCGAAAACATATCTAGGATGGATACACTTTATGGGCCCCTTATCTCTGAAGACCAGCAGTGGCAAAAGCACTGCATTGGTTCGGGAAGTTCCCTCTGCATTCTTCTTGCTGCTGCTTGTCTCAGCAAAGAGCCAGGACAAGCGGCCTTTACGAAGCAGCCACCTCTTCCTAGCTATGATGTCGAAGGTTGCAGGGGGGAGGGGTCCCCGTCACCCAGTCCAACTGCATAGCTAGGCGGGGGGGTCACCCAGTCCAACTTCATAGCTAGGCGGGGGGGGGGTCACCCAGTCCACCATCATAGCTAGGACCCAGCAACGTGAGGCAGTACTACGTGTATTTTCTCCCATGTTGGACAGACAAGTAACAATGTAACGATAGATCCTGTTGTGTCCATCTTTGCTGCTGTCCGATTGTTCCGCGTTGATTCTGTTGAGCTGTTTCGTCTCGGGTGTCACTGGAATGGGGGACAGGGAGTTATCGATAAGAAGGTGTAACTCCAATTTGTGCTTCTTCAAGGAGAACCCGGGGCCACAGCCAATAGACTTCAATCACCGCTGGTAACATTGGCGCGTGGCCCCGGTGGGCGTATTTACTGAAAATGAGTCGTAGGATTCAATAAAATCTCACCAACCGCTGAATCCCGAACCCCCTGCTCCCATCAGGAGGCGTATTCACCAACACATCAGCCTTCCTCAGGTTTTTAAAGACGGAGGAACCCTTGAAATAATTTTCATGTCTCCCGGCACATTTGTGCGCTCAGTAGGTGGTCAGAAATGGGGAAATCTGACCGATCGTCCCATAATCATATGAAGCCATTAATGATCACATCGTTGCTTGGCTCCCAAATCCCCCAAATAGCCCAGATCAGAAGTCTCCACCCCCAGATCAGAAGTCTCCACCCCCCAGATCAGAAGTCTCCACCCCCCAGATCAGAAGTCTCCACCCCCTCAGATCAGAAGTCTTCACCCCCCAGATCAGACGTCTCCACACCCCAGATCAGAAGTCTCCACCCCCCAGATCAGAAGTCTCCACCCCCCCCGGATCAGAAGTCTCCACGCCCCCCGGATCAGAAGTCTCCACCCCCCGGATCAGAAGTCTCCACCCCCTGGATCAGAAGTCTCCACCCCCCGTATCAGAAGTCTCCACCCCCCCCGGATTAGAAGTCTCCACCCCCCCGGATCAGACGTCTCCACCCCCCCGATCAGAAGTCTCCACCCCCCCAGATCAGAAGTCTCCACCCCCCCAGATCAGAAGTCTTCACCCCCCCCAGATCAGAAGTCTCCACGCCCCCAGATCAGACATCTCCACCCCCCAGATCAGACATCTCCACTCCCGGGATCAGAAGTCTCCACCCCCCCGGATCAGAAGTCTCCACTACCCTGGATCAAAAGTCTCCACCCCCCCTGGATCAGTCTCCACGCCCCCAGATCAGACATCTCCACCCCCCGGATCAGAAGTCTCCACCCCCCGGATCAGAAGTCTCCACCCCCCGGATCAGAAGTCTCCACCCCCCGGATCAGAAGTCTCCACTCCCCCGGATCAGAAGTCTCCAGCCCCTTTAAAGTCACAATCAGTGCATAAATAGTCAGTGAGTTTGTTAGCTTTCATGTGGATGCACTGAGCAGGCTAGATACTGAGCCATGGGGAGCAGAAAAGAACTGCCAAAAGACCTGCGTAACAAGGTAATGGAACTTTATAAAGATGGAAAATTATATAAAAGATATCCAAAGCCCCCTTTACATCAGGTTTCCATCAAAGTGTCCCCTTACATCCGGTGTCCCCATCAGCGTGCCCCCTTTACATCAGGTTCCCATCAGAGTGTCCCCTTTACATCAGGTTCCCATCAGAGTGTCCCCTTTACATCAGGTCCCCATCAGAGTGTCCCCATACATCAGATGTCCCCGTCAGAGTGTCCCCTTACATTTGGTGTCCCCATCACAGTGCCCCCTTACATCAGGGTCCCCACCAGAGTCTCCCTTTACATCAGGTTCCCATCAGAGTGTCCCCTTATATCAGGGTCCCCAACAGAGTCCCCCTTTACATCAAATGTCCCCATCAGAGTGTCCCTTACATCGGCTGTCACCATCAGAGTGCCTCCTCAACTGTTTGCATCAGACTAGCTCATGGATCAGTGTATGCACTTTCAGCAATGTGGGGGAACAGCTATAGTCTGGGGAGGCACGGCCCACCCCAGCAACTCTGGCCCTGCTAGGAGTGGTGTCCAGGGGGGCTTAGAGTAGCACTATGGGGTTGGGACCCCACTGTGTGAAAGCGAACCAGACTGCAAGGCCCATCCTCTGTACCTTCAAAAGCACTCTTTTTACTTTATCTTATTTATATTTTTTATGTTTGTCACTTTCACTTACAAAATATTGCCCCAAGGATTCAATATTGAGTTGGCCCCGCCCTTTCCACGCACATGACCTTTTATGGCCTCCCAGTCTTAGTCCGTAGGATTCAATATTGAGTTGGCCCCACCCTTTCCACGCACATGACCTTTAATGGCCTCCCAGTCTTAGTCCATAGGATTCAATATTGAGTTGGCCCCGCCCTTTCCACGCACATGACCTTTAATGGCCTCCCAGTCTTAGTCCATAGGATTCAATATTGAGTTGGCCCCGCCCTTTCCACACACATGACCTTTTATGGCCTCCCAGTCTTAGTCCGTAGGATTCAATATTGAGTTGGCCCCGCCCTTTCCACGCACATGACCTTTAATGGCCTCCCAGTCTTAGTCCGTAGGGTTCAATATTGAGTTGGCCCCGCCCTTTCCACGCACATGACCTTTAATGGCCTCCCAGTCTTAGTCCATAGGATTCAATATTGAGTTGGCCCCGCCCTTTCCACGCACATGACCTTTAATGGCCTCCCAGTCTTAGTCCGTAGGATTCAATATTGAGTTGGCCCCGCCCTTTCCACGCACATGACCTTTAATGGCCTCCCAGTCTTCGTCCGTAGGATTCAATATTGAGTTGGCCCCGCCCTTTCCACACACATGACCTTTAATGGCATCCCACCCTTAGTCCGTAGGCTTTAATTTTGAGTTAACCCCGCCCTTTCCACGCACATGACCTTTAATGGCCTCCCACCCTTAGTCCGTAGGGTTCAATATTGAGTCGGCCCCGCCCTTTCCACACACATGACCTTTAATGGCATCCCACCCTTAGTCCGTAGGCTTTAATTTTGAGTTGGCTCCGCCCTTTCCACGCCCATGACCTTTAATGGCCCCCCAGTCTTAGTCCGTAGGGTTCAATATTGAGTTGGCCCCGCCCTTTCCACACACATGACCTTTAATGGCCCCCCAGTCTTAGTCCGTAGGGTTCAATATTGAGTTGGCCCCGCCCTTTGCAGCTATAACAGCTTCGACTCTTCTGGGAAGGCCGTCCACAAGGTTTAGGAGGGTGTCTATGGGAAGGTTGGACCATTCTTCCAGAAGCACATTTGTCAGGTCAGGCACTGATGTCGGGGGAGGGGGCCTGGCTCGCAGTCTCCGCTCTAATTCATCCCAAAGGTGTTCTATGGGGTTGAGGTCAGGACTCTGTGCAGGACAGTCAAGTTCCTCCACCCCAAACTGGCTCCTCCATGTCTTTATGGACCTTGCTTTGTGCACTGGTGGGCAGTCATGTTGGAACAGGAAGGGGCCATCCCCAAACTCCTCCCGCAAAGTTGGGTGCATGACATTGTCCTAAATGTCACCTTAAGAGTTCCCTTCACTGGAACTAGGGGGCCAAGCCCAACCCCTGAAAAACAACCCCCCACCATTATCCCTCCTCCACCAAACTTTACACTTGGCACAATGCAGTCAGGCAAGTACCGTTCTCCTGGCCACCACCAAACCCAGTCGGTAGAACGACTAGAAGACTTAGGGACAGACTACGGGAGCACTTAAAAAATATAAAAAAGGGATTCAGAGAACACTCACTCTCCATGCATTTTCGCCAAACGCATAACAATAATCCACACTCCCTGAAATTTATAGGTATTGACATGATTCAAAGACATTGGAGAGGAACACATAAACGCAGGGCAGTCCCAAAGATAGAAACCAAATGGATTTTGTTGCTCAAAACATTTGCCCCACAAGGATTAAACACGGATTTGGATCTTAATTGTTTATTAGACACCAGTTAATTGTCATTGATTTTACCACATTTTAGTGTATGCTGAGTGTTCATTGCGTTGCCATCCTTCGGCCACATTATTTGTATGTTCACACCAGCATTATAATTGCATATATATTTCATGCATGTGATGTTGTTTCTTATGTTTTTACATATTTATATATATTTTTTATTTTTTTATATATATTTATGTATATATATATTTTTATATGGTCACCTGTATAAGAATTACATGGGGGTTTAAGATAAGTACTCATGAAGATTGGGGTTTTTTACAATAATCGTTTTTTTTTCAGGTCCGATTCTCAATAAATAAATTATATATTAATGCCAGGTGACGCTTATATTCCTATATATATATATATATTGTGTATATTTATAATTTTGAGATATATTATGCATTTTTATCAATTTTTACCATATTATTCTATTTCTATATATATATATGTGCAGTTTATTATAATCTGCCTGTATTAACTACCTGCCGACCGCAGATAGCTGAATGACGGCTAAACTGCGGCCAGGCCAGTTCTGGGTGGACGTCATATGACGTCCTCCCAGAACGCGCTCTCCTGCGCTCCCCAGGGGGCGCGCACTCGGCGATCTCCGTGATCGCTGTGTCCTACGGACACAGCTGATCACGTGATGTGGTAAAAGGCCAATCACAGCGGCCTTTTACCACGTGATCAGCGGTGTCCAATGACACGCTGATCAGAGGGAAATGCAAGTGCCGGTTCTCGGCTGCACTTTCCTCACTCTGTCAGATCGTGAGGAAAGTACTGCCGAGAACCGGGCAGTTGTCAGAGTGGGGATCGGCACCGATCATCAGGGTCACTGATGATCGGTGCCCAGCAGTGCCACCCGCAAGTTCCGCCCACCTGTGCCCAGCAGTGCGCCCACTAGCTCCGCCCACCTGTGCCCAGCAGATCACCCACCTGTGCCCAGCAGTTCCCCCACCTGTGCCACTCTGCAGTGCCACCCACCTGTGCCACTCTGCAGTGCCACCTACCTGTGCCCAGAAGTGCCACCTACCTGTGCCCAGAAGTGCCACCCACCTGTGCCCACCCACCTGTGCCCACCAGTGCTGCCCACCAGTGCCACCCACCAGTGCAGCCCAGCAGTGCTGCCAGTCAGTGCCACCAGTCAGTGCCCAGGGGTTGTGCCAGTCAGTGCCACCAGTCAGTGCCCAGCAGTGATGCCAGTCAGTGTCGTCTCTCAGTACCCATCATCAGTGTCACTTATCAGTGCCGCCTATCAGTGCTGCATATTAGTGCCGCCTATCCGTGCCACCTCATTAGTACTGCCTATCAGTGCCCTTTAGTGCTCCCTATCAGTGCCCATCAGTGCCGCCTATCAGTGCCCATCAGTGCTGCCTCATCAACGCACATCAGTGAAGGAGAAAAAATACCTGTTTGAAAAATTTTATAATAGAAACAAAGAGACCTTTTTTTTTTTTCAAATTTTTTGCACTTTTTTTATTTATAGCGCAAAAAGTAAAGCGCCCAGTGGCGATTAAATACCACCAAAAGAAAGCTCTATTTGTGAGAAAAAAATGATCAAAATGTCATATGGGTACAATGTTGCATGACCGCGCAATTGTCAATCAAAGTGCGGCAGCGCTGAAAGCTGAAAATTGGCCTGGTAAGGAAGGGGGTAGAAGTGCCCGATGGGCAGGAAGGGGGTAGAAGTGCCCGGTAGGCAGGAAGGGGGTAGAAGTGTCCTGTAGGCAGGAAGGGGGTAGAAGTGTCCTGTAGGCAGGAAGGGGGTAGAAGTGCCCGGCGGGCAGGAAGGGGGTAGAAGTGCCCGGCGGGCAGGAAGGGGGTAGAAGTGCCCGGTGGGCAGGAAGGGGGTAGAAGTGCCCGGCAGGCAGGAAGGGGGTAGAAGTGCCCGGCAGGCAGGAAGGGGGTAGAAGTGTCCGGTAGGCAGGAAGGGGGTAGAAGTGTCCGGTAGGCAGGAAGGGGGTAGAAGTGCCCGGTAGGCAGGAAGGGGGTAGAAGTGTCCTGTAGGCAGGAAGGGGGTAGAAGTGCCCGGTAGGCAGGAAGGGGGTAGAAGTGTCCGGTGGGCAGGAAGGGGGTAGAAGTGTCCTGTAGGCAGGAAGGGGGTAGAAGTGCCCGGTAGGCAGGAAGGGGGTAGAAGTGTCCTGTAGGCAGGAAGGGGGTAGAAGTGTCCTGTAGGCAGGAAGGGGGTAGAAGTGCCCGGTAGGCAGGAAGGGGGTAGAAGTGTCCTGTAGGCAGGAAGGGGGTAGAAGTGTCCTGTAGGCAGGAAGGGGGTAGAAGCGCCCTGTAGGCAGGAAGGGGGTAGAAGTGACCGGTAGGCAGGAAGGGGGTAGAAGTGCCCGGTGGGCAGGGAGGGGGTAGAAGTGCCCGGTAGGCAGGAAGGGGGTAGAAGTGTCTGGTAGGCAGGAAGGGGGTAGAAGTGCCCGGTAGGCAGGAAGGGGGTAGAAGTGCCCTATAGGCAGGAAGGGGGTAGAAGTGTCTGGTAGGCAGGAAGGGGGTAGAAGTGCCCGGTAGGCAGGAAGGGGGTAGAAGTGTCCGGTAGGCAGGAAGGGGGTAGAAGTGTCCGGTAGGCAGGAAGGGGGTAGAAGTGTCCTGTAGGCAGGAAGGGGGTAGAAGTGCCCGGTAGGCAGGAAGGGGGTAGAAGTGTCCGGTGGGCAGGAAGGGGGTAGAAGTGTCCTGTAGGCAGGAAGGGGGTAGAAGTGTCCTGTAGGCAGGAAGGGGGTAGAAGCGCCCTGTAGGCAGGAAGGGGGTAGAAGTGTCCTGTAGGCAGGAAGGGGGTAGAAGTGCCCGGTAGGCAGGAAGGGGGTAGAAGTGTCCTGTAGGCAGGAAGGGGGTAGAAGTGTCCTGTAGGCAGGAAGGGGGTAGAAGCGCCCTGTAGGCAGGAAGGGGGTAGAAGTGACCGGTAGGCAGGAAGGGGGTAGAAGTGTCCTGTAGGCAGGAAGGGGGTAGAAGTGCCCGGTAGGCAGGAAGGGGGTAGAAGTGTCCGGTAGGCAGGAAGGGGGTAGAAGTGCCCTGTAGGCAGGAAGGGGGTAGAAGTGCCCGGTAGGCAGGAAGGGGGTAGAAGTGCCCTGTAGGCAGGAAGGGGGTAGAAGTGCCCGGTAGGCAGGAAGGGGGGGAGAAGTGTCCTGTAGGCAGGAAGGGGGTAGAAGTGCCCGGTAGGCAGGAAGGGGGTAGAAGTGCCCGGTAGGCAGGAAGGGGGTAGAAGTGCCCTGTAGGCAGGAAGGGGGTAGAAGTGTCCTGTAGGCAGGAAGGGGGTAGAAGTGCCCGGTAGGCAGGAAGGGGGTAGAAGTGTCTGGTAGGCAGGAAGGGGGTAGAAGTGCCCTTTAGGCAGGAAGGGGGTAGAAGTGTCCTGTAGGCAGGAAGGGGGTAGAAGTGTCCTGTAGGCAGGAAGGGGGTAGAAGTGTCCTGTAGGCAGGAAGGGGGTAGAAGTGTCCGGTAGGCAGGAAGGGGGTAGAAGTGCCCTGTAGGCAGGAAGGGGGTAGAAGTGTCCTGTAGGCAGGAAGGGGGTAGAAGTGTCCGGTGGGCAGGAAGGGGGTAGAAGTGCCCTGTAGGCAGGAAGGGGGTAGAAGTGCCCGGTAGGCAGGAAGGGGGTAGAAGTGCCCTGTAGGCAGGAAGGGACAGGGTAGAAGTGTCCGGTGGGCAGGAAGGGGGTAGAAGTGCCCTGTAGGCAGGAAGGGGGTAGAAGTGCCCGGTAGGCAGGAAGGGGGTAGAAGTGCCCGGTAGGCAGGAAGGGGGTAGAAGTGCCCGGTAGGCAGGAAGGGGGTAGAAGTGCCTGGTAGGCAAGTGGTTAATATGTTTCCTACATGGACTTTTTTGATGAATGGCTCTAATCGAGCAATCTGTCCTGGCACTTGCAGTCCCACTATTTCACCACAAGGTGACTATGCCCTTGATATCTGTAGGGTCTGCGCTCTGTTTAACCCTTTTAAATTCTGTCATTCCCTGAGCATATCTTTAATCGGTGGTTACCACCAACAACAGCTCTTTTTTCCCCACTGAATTTTCTTCCTTGGTTGGTCTGTCATCAGAGGCAGTAAGACAGAGACTGGGACTCCAGGAAAATGGCCGCCGAGCGCGATCCGCGGATGAATAGCGATGACGCATGCGCGGATGAATAGCGATGACGCGATAGCGTCGGACTGCGCATGCGCGTGGCGTCCTTAGACATTTTAGGCCTCGTACCATAAATAGGTGGCCTCTGACAGTAGCCCACTCCCTTTGATAACGCGCACTTGCCACGAAACGCGTTAGGGAGATGCTACTTCACCTACCACTACTACCCACATGGTCCACACCTTGATACGGGCGGCCATCTTTGGATTTGTTTATTCCCTGAAGGTTGATTCCTGTTCCTTGAGCGCACACCGCAACCCCTGGAGGTCGCTGACACCAAAGGATTCCACTACACACTGGATGAGCGTTTATTCCACTGGATACCTGGTAATGCCACAACAGGAGAGGACGCGGATGTTTCTGGTGACCACAGCAGAGACGACCACCACTCCGGCAGGTTTCCTGATCCGTTGACCAGGAGTAGGTCATTTTACCCCAATGCGCTACTATCTGCGCCATCTGGTTAGTGCGTTCTACAGCCACACTTCCTACCACAGATGTCACAGATTTATTTTTGTCACTCCAATGAAATATTGACTTTGACACCAATGTCACCATTTACACCTTTGTAACCAGGAGAATGTTGTAGTATTGGTTGCCTAAGACCATTACTTTTCTGCTGGCTGCGTTTAAATCTATCTAGGTGGTCACACTTCATCGTGAGACGGACCTTTCTACTCTGGCGCTGCATGTTTTGTGTTTGTGACTGTTATCCCACGAGGCGTTTTGGAGGCTTGCCTTTCATGCTAGCTGCTTGCATACTTTTGTTCTGAAACTATCCAGCGCTCGTTACACCCTTTTTTATACCAAACCCAGTCACGTCCATCGGATTGCCAGACAGAGAAGCGTGATTGGTCACTCCAGAGAACACGTCTCCCTTGCTCTAGAGTCCAGTGGCAGCGTGCTTTACACCACGGCATCAGACGCTTTGCATTGCACTTGGTGGTGGAAGGCTTGGATGCAGCTGCTCTAGAGTCCAGTGGCGGCGTGCTTTACGCCACGGCATCCGACGCTTTGCATTGCACTTGGTGATGGAAGGCTTGGATGCAGCTGCTCGGCCATGGAAACCCATTCCATGAAGCTCTCTACGCACTGTTGTTGGGCTCATCTGAAGGCCACACCAAGTTTGGAGGTCTTTAGCTATTGACTCTGCAGACAGTTGGTGACTTCTGCGCACTGTGCGCTTCAGCATGCGCTGACCCCGCCCTGTCATGTGACGTGGCCTACCACTTGGCGGCTGAGTGGCTGTTGTTCCCAGTGGCTTCCACTTTGTTATAATCCCACTAACAGTTGAGCGTGGAATATTTAGTAGCCAGGAAATGTCACGGATGGACTTATTGCCCAGGTGGCCACCTATCACGGGACCACGCTTGGAGTCACTGAGCTCCTGAGAGCAACCCATTCTTTCACCAATGTTTGTAGAAGCAGTCTGCATGCCTAGGGGCTTGATTGTATACACCTGTATCCATGGAGGGGATTGGAACACCTGAATCACATGATATGGAGGGATTGGAACACCTGAATCACATGATTGGGAGGGAATTGGAACACCTGAATCACATGATATGGAGGGGATTGGAACACCTGAATCACATGATATGGAGGGGATTGGAACACTTGAATCACATGATATGGAGGGGATTGGAACACCTGAATCACATGATCAGGAGGAAATTGGAACACCTGAATCACATTATTGGGAGGGGATTAGAACACCTGAATCACATGATTGGGAGGGAATTGGAACACCTGAATCACATGATTGGGAGGGAATTGGAACACCCTGAATCACATGATTGGGAGGGGATTAGAACACCTGAATCACATGATATGGAGGGATTGGAACACCTGAATCACATGATTGGGAGGGGATTAGAACACCTGAATCAAATCATACGGAGGGATTGGAACACCTGAATCACATGATATGGAGGGGATTGGAACACCTGAATCACATGATATGGAGGGGATTGGAACACCTGAGTCACATAATATGGAGGGGATTGGAGCACCTGAATCACATGATTGGGAGGGAACGGGAACACCTGAATCACATGATATGGAGGGGATTGAAACAGCTGAATCACATGATATGGAAGGTATTGGAACAATAGAATCACATGATATGGAGGGGATTGGAACACCTGAATCACATGATATGGAAGGGATTGGAACACTAGAATCACATGATATGGAGGGGATTGGAACACCTAAATCACATGATTGGGAGGGAATTGGAACACCTGAATCACATGATATGGAGGGATTGGAACACCTGAATCACATGATTGGGAGGGGATTAGATCACCTGAATCACATGATACGGAGGGATTGGAACACCTGAATCACATGATATGGAGGGGATTGGAACACCTGAATCACATGATATGGAAGGGATTGGAACACCTGAATCACATGATTGGGAGGGGATTAGAACACCTGAATCACATCATACGGAGGGATTGGAACACCTGAATCACATGATATGGAGGTGATTGGAACACCTGAATCACATGATTGGGAAGGAATTGGAACACCTGAATCACATGATATGGAGGGGATTGGAACACCTGAATCACATGATCAGGAGGAAATTGGAACACCTGAATCACATTATTGGGAGGGGATTAGAACACCTGAATCACATGATATGGAGGGGATTGGAACACCTGAATCACATGATTGGGAGGGAATTGGAACACCTGAATCACATGATTGGGAGGGGATTAGAACACCTGAATCACATGATATGGAGGGGATTGGAACACCTGAATCACATGATTGGGAAGGAATTGGAACACTTGAATCACATGATATGGAGGGGATTGGAACACCTGAATCACATGATCAGGAGGAAATTGGAACACCTGAATCACATTATTGGGAGGGGATTAGAACACCTGAATCACATGATTGGGAGGGGATTAGAATTAGAACACCTGAATCACATGATATGGAGGGATTGGAACACCTGAATCACATGATTGGGAGTGGATTAGAACACCTGAATCAAATCATACGGAGGGATTGGAACACCTGAATCACATGATTGGGAGGGGATTGGAACACCTGAATCACATGATTGGGAGGGGATTGGAACACCTGAATCACATGATTGGGAGGGGATTAGAACACCTGAATCACATCATACGGAGGGATTGGAACACCTGAATCACATGATTGGGAGGGAATTGGAACAATTGAATCACATGATCAGGAGGGAATTGGAACACATGAATCACATGATCAGGAGGGAATTGGAACACCTGAATCACATGATCAGGAGGGGATTGGAACACCTGAATCACATGATATGGAGGTGATTGGAACACCTGAATCACATGATATGGAGGTGATTGGAACACCTGAATCACATGATTGGGAGGGAATTGGAACACCTGAATCACATGATTGGGAGGGGATTAGAACACCTGAATCACATGATATGGAGGGATTGGAACACCTGAATCACATGATTGGGAGTGGATTAGAACACCTGAATCAAATCATACGGAGGGATTGGAACACCTGAATCACATGATTGGGAGGGGATTGGAACACCTGAATCAAATCATACGGAGGGATTGGAACACCTGAATCACATGATTGGGAGGGGATTGGAACACCTGAATCACATGATTGGGAGGGGATTGGAACACCTGAATCACATGATTGAGAGGGGATTAGAACACCTGAATCACATCATACGGAGGGATTGGAACACCTGAATCACATGATTGGGAGGGAATTGGAACAATTGAATCACATGATCAGGAGGGAATTGGAACACCTGAATCACATGATCAGGAGGGGATTGAACACCTGAATCACATGATATGGAGGTGATTGGAACACCTGAATCACATGATATGGAGGTGATTGGAACACCTGAATCACATGATATAGAGGGGTGTCCCAATACTTATGGCAATATAGTGTATATATGTGTAATTTTTCACTTGGCTGGTGGGGTGTGGATCTTTTGGCCTACCCTAAAGTCCAAGGGGGAAGATGTGTGGCCCTTGGGTTCCTTACTCGCATGCCTTCAGGGGTCTTTCTTTGGGAGAGCCCTTCACCTAGTACTATGAAGCTCAACTTCAGCTGACCTTAAAGAAAGGGGTCCGCCCGGCCTTGTGGCTAGATGGACCTGAGTGTGCCCTACCCCCATTAAGGGGTCTTGCTCCCTGGGAGGGCAGGGAAGGGACCTTCCTGTTCAAAAGGGGATCACATGGTACATCCTCAGTGCACTTTTTGTGTATCACATACACTGTTATTGATTTTTTTTGTTTTTTTTTGCTCACCTCACCATGGGCTCCAAGAAAACTGACATCTAATAGGACTGTGATGATGATAAAGATTTGGACCGTCTGGTAAAGGGGTTATGGGGACATATTGGACCCACTGGGGGTTTGTACACATGAAAGGGTCAATAACCTCCAGGGGCGGACTGAGAACTCATGAGGCTCAATAGGGGATCATGGGGCCCCTGTGTCCTCGCCTACACTCAAACCACACCCAAAAAAGCCTATGAAAGATACTAAGGTCATCTCATGGGGTCCCCTCCTGACCCTGGGCCCTCGGGCAGTGCCCGAATTGTCAGTCCGCCCCTGATAACCTTCTTTCATAATAGTCTCTAGGCTGCAGGTATTCACTCAGTTTAGACATGTTGCCCGTCAGACGGTGCCCATGCAAGCTGCAGTGATCGTACCCACTGATCTGGCCTGAAATGGTCCATTTGTTGACTTCCTTTCTTTTTTTTCTCATCTGTATGTTTCTTTTGTTTTTTGCTTCCAAAATCCTAGAAAGACAATTTGCTTCTTCTCAGTGGGAAGAATGTCCCTTACATTGGTGATCAGTGGGAAGAATGTCCCTTACATTGGGGGTCAGTGGGAAGAATGTCCCTTACATTGGGGGTCAGTGGGAAGAATGTCCCTTACATTGGTGGTCAGTGGGAAGAATGTCCCTTACATTGGTGGTCAGTGGGAAGAATGTCCCTTACATTGGGGGTCAGTGGGAAGAATGTCCCTTACATTGGGGGTCAGTGGGAAGAATGTCCCTTACATTGGGGGTCAGTGGGAAGAACGTCCCTTACATTGGGGGTCAGTGGGAAGAATGTCCCTTACATTGGTGGTCAGTGGGAAGAATGTCCCTTACATTGGTGGTCAGTGGGAAGAATGTCCCTTACATTGGGGGTCAGTGGGAAGAATGTCCCTTACATTGGGGGTCAGTGGGAAGAATGTCCCTTACATTGGTGGTCAGTGGGAAGAATGTCCCTTACATTGGGGGTCAGTGGGAAGAATGTCCCTTACATTGGTGATCGGTGGGAAGAATGTCCTTTACATTGGGGGGGGTCAGTGGGAAGAATGTCCCTTACATTGGGGGTCAGTGGGAAGAAGGTCCCTTACATTGGTGATCGGTGGGAAGAATGTCCCTTACATTGGGGGGGTCAGTGGGAAGAATGTCCCTTACATTGGGGGTCAGTGGGAAGAATGTCCCTTACATTGGTGATCGGTGGGAAGAATGTCCCTTACATTGGGGGTCAGTGGGAAGAATGTTCCTTACATTGGTGGTCAGTGGGAAGAATGTCCCTTACATTGGTGGTCAGTGGGAAGAATGTCCCTTACATTGGGGGTCAGTGGGAAGAACGTCCCTTACATTGGGGGTCAGTGGGAAGAATGTCCCTTACATTGGGGCTCAGTGGGAAGAATGTTCCTTACATTGGTGGGTCAGTGGGAAGAATGTCCCTTACATTGGGGGTCAGTGGGAAGAATGTCCCTTACATTGAGGATCAGTGGGAAGAATGTCCCTTACATTGGGGGTCAGTGGGAAGAATGCTCCTTACATTGGTGATCAGTGGGAAGAATATCCCTTACATTGGGGGTCAGTGGGAAGAATGTCATTTACATTGGGGGGTCAGTGGGAAGAATGTCTCTTACATTGGGGGTCAGTGGGAAGACTGTCCCTTACATTGGTGATCAGTGGGAAGAATGTCCCTTACATTGGGGGTCAGTGGGAAGAATGTCCCTTACATTGGTGGTCAGTGGGAAGAATGTCCCTTACATTGGGGGTCAGTGGGAAGAATGTCCCTTACATTGGGGGTCAGTGGGAAGAATATCCCTTACATTGGGGGTCAGTGGGAAGAATGTCCCTTACATTGGTGATCAGTGGGAAGAATATTCCTTACATTGGGGGTCAGTGGGAAGAATATTCCTTACATTGGGGGGTCAGTGGGAAGAATGTCCCTTACATTGGGGGTCAGTGGGAAGAATGTCCCTTACATTGGGGGTCGGTGGGAAGAATGTCCCTTACATTGGGGGTCAGTGGGAAGAATGTCCCTTACATTGGGGGTCGGTGGGAAGAATGTCCCTTACATTGGTGATCAGTGGGAAGAATGTCCCTTACATTGGGGGTCAGTGGGAAGAATGTCCCTTACATTGGGGGTCAGTGGGAAGAATGTCCCTTACATTGGTGATCAGTGGGAAGAATGCCCCTTACATTGGGGGGTCAGTGGGAAGAATTGGGAAGAATGTCCCTTACATTGGGGGTCAGTGGGAAGAACGTCCCTTACATTGGTGATCAGTGGGAAGAATGTCCCTTAGATTGGGGATCAGTGGAAAGAATGTCCCTTACATTGGGGGTCAGTGGGAAGAATTTCCCTTACATTGGTGGTCAGTGGGAAGAATGTCCCTTACATTGGGGGTCAGTGGGAAGAATGTCCCTTACATTGGGGATCAGTGGGAAGAATGTCCCTTACATTGGGGGGTCAGTGGGAAGAATGTTCCTTGCATTGGTGGGTCAGTGGGAAAAATGTCCCTTACATTGGGGATCAGTGGGAAGAATGTCCCTTACATTGGGGGTTCAGTGGGAAGAATGTTCCTTACATTGGTGGGTCAGTGGGAAAAATGTCCCTTACATTGGGGGTCAGTGGGAAGAATGTCCCTTACATTGGTGGTCAGTGGGAAGAATGTCCCTTACATTGGGGGGTCAGTGGGAAGAATGTTCCTTACATTGGTGGGTCAGTGGGAAAAATGTCCCTTACATTGGGGGTCAGTGGGAAGAATGTCCCTTACATTGGGGGTTCAGTGGGAAGAATGTTCCTTACATTGGTGGGTCAGTCGGAAAAATGTCCCTTACATTGGGGGTCAGTGGGAAGAATGTCCCTTACATTGGGGGTCAGTGGGAAGAAATGTCCCTTACATTGGGGGTCAGTGGGAAGAATGTCCCTTACATTGGGGATCAGTGGGAAGAATGTCCCTTACATTGGGGGTCAGTGGGAAGAACGTCTCTTACATTGGTGGTCAGTGGGAAGAATGTCCCTTACATTGGGGATCAGTAGGAAGAATGTCCCCTTACATTGGGGGTCAGTGGGAAGAATGCCCCTTACATTGGGGGTCAGTGGGAAGAATGTCTCTTACATTGGTGGTCAGTGGGAAGAACGTCCCTTACATTGGGGGTCAGTGGGAAGAACGTCCCCTACATTGAGGGTCAGTGGGAAGAATGCCCCTTACATTGGGGGTCAGTGGGAAGAATGTCTCTTACATTGGTGGTCAGTGGGAAGAACGTCCCTTACATTGAGGGTCAGTGGGAAGAATGTCCCTTACATTGGGGGTCAGTGGGAAGAACGTCCCTTACATTGGGGGTCAGTGGGAAGAACGTCCCTTACATTGAGGGTCAGTGGGAAGAATTCCCCTTACATTGGGGGTCAGTGGGAAGAACGTCCCTTACATTGGGGGTCAGTGGGAAGAATGTCCCTTACATTGGGGGTCGGTGGGAAGAATGTCCCTTACATTGGTGATCAGTGTGAAGAATGCCCCTTACATTGGGTGATCAGTGGGAAGAATGTCCCTTACATTGGGGTCAGTGGGAAGAATGTCCCTTACATTGGGGGTCAGTGGGAAGAATGCCCCTTACATTGGGGGTCAGTGGGAAGAACGTCCCTTACATTGGGGGTCAGAGGGAAGCCTTTTCTGCATTGCTGGGAAGATGGCGGCCCCGTGAAAAGTCTGAGAGTCCGACATGGCAAGCTCCCGGCCTATGTTGCCCCGTGTCTGAAAATACTTCGGCAGTGGCAGGTGACAGTGGAGGATATCAAGTCCCTTCCCAGGAAGCTTCTGGGGGAGAGAATTTTGGCTTTTGCTTTCAGTGTGTCACTGGCCTTAAAGGATTGCCCCGGCTCCGTAATGAGGGAGGGGCTGCGTTTAATTAACCTGGAGAGAATCCCTTTGAAGTTTAGGGATCAAGCCTGGCTCGCTTTCCATGGAAGGCTCTATGTGAGAGGGAACCTGAAGCACCGCCCTGTGGATGATCGGGATTTTCCTAGAGCAGAGTGTGTTGGTAAAGTGGAGTCTATGGACCACTTTCTGCTCCAGTGTCCCTGTAACATAGAGGTGTATAAAAGGGTGGGGAGGGTTCTGGGCACCCCCTTTCTCTTTCACATGAGTAATGCAGAGTGGGTGTACGGGGGCATTCCTGACTCTCCGGGACTCTGATTTGGATACACTTTTTTTAGTTAGTATAGCTGTTTGACACCGTGCATTCCATGTGAAGTAACAGTTTACCCTGCGGAAGAAGGTCCTCCCTGTAGAAGTGGTGGTGCACGATATTCTGGGTGAAGTTGGGAAGATTCGGGGTCTGGAGAAGGGTAGGGAGCCTCGGGCAGTCTGGATAATGGCCTGGAGGAATATCAGGCCTACCGTTGGTGAACTGTCTATCTCTGGGGGAGGGGCGCTTTTCTTATGCTGTTCTTTTCACTCCCTTAGTTTTTTGTCGATTAAGATCTTCTTGAAGAAGGGCTGCATGCATAATGGGGGCGGGGCTGCATGCATAATGGGGGCGGGGTTGTTTCGCTTTAACATAGAGGTGTATAAAAGGTTGGGGAGGGTTCTGGGCATCCCCTTTCTCTATCGCATGAGTTATGCAGAGTGGGTGTACGGGGCATTCCTGACTCTCCGGGATTTTGATTTGGATACACCACCTTTTCTGGTTAGTATAGTTGTTCGTTACTTCACATGAAACGCACGGTGTCAGATTACCCTGCGGAAGAAAGTCCTCCCTGTAGAGGTGGTGGTGCACAATATTCTGGGTGAGATTGGGAAGATTCGGGGTCTGGAGAAGGGCATGGAGCCTCGGGCAGTCTGGATAAGGGCGTGGGGGAATATCAGACCTACCTTTGGTGAACTGCTCATGTCTGGGGGAGGGGCTCTTTTCTTATACTGTTCTTTTTACTCCGTTAGTTTTTTTTGATTAAGATCTTCTTGAAGAAGGGCTGCATGCATAAAGGGTTCGGGGCTGCATGCATAATGGGGGCGGGGTTGTTTCCCTTTAACATAGATGTGTATAAAAGGGTGGGGAGGGTTCTGGGCACCCCCTTTCTCTATCGCATGAGTTATGCAGAGTGGGTGTACGGTGCAATCCTGACTCTCCTGGATTTTGATTCGGACACACTTTTTCCTGTTAGTATAGTTGTTTGTTACTTCACGTGGAACGCACGGTGTCAGATTATCCTGCGGAAGAAAGTCCTCCCTGTAGAAGTGGTGGTGCACGATATTCTGGGTGAGGTTGGGAAGATTCGGGGTCTGGAGAAGGGCATGGAGCCTCGGGCAGTCTGGATAATGGCCTGGAGGAATATCAGACCTACCTTTGGTGAACTGTCCATCTCTGGGGGAGGGGCTCTTTTCTTATACTGTTCTTTTCACTCCCTTAGTTTTTGTCGATTAAGATCTTCTTGAAGAAGGGCTGCATGCATAATGGGGGCGGGGCTGCATGCATAATGGGGGCGGGGCTGCATGCATAATGGGGGCGGGGTTGTTTCCCTTTAACATAGAGGTGTATAAAAGGGTGGGGAGGGTTCTGGGCACCCCCTTTCTCTATCGCATGAGTTATGCAGAGTGGGTGTACGGTGCAATCCTGACTCTCCGGGATTTTGATTCGGACACACTTTTTCCTGTTAGTATAGTTGTTTGTTACTTCATGTGGAACGCACGGTGTCAGATTATCCTGCGGAAGAAAGTCCTCCCTGTAGAAGTGGTGGTGCACGATATTTCTGGGTGAGGTTGGGAAGATTCGGGGTCTGGAGAAGGGTAGGGAGCCTCGGGCAGTCTGGATAATGGCCTGGAGGAATATCAGACCTACCTTTGGTGAACTGTCCATCTCTGGGGGAGGGGCGCTTTTCTTATACTGTTCTTTTCACTCCGTTAGTTTTTTTGTTGATTAAGATCTTCTTGAAGAAGGGCTGCATGCATAATGGGGGCGGGGCTGCATGCATAATGGGTGCGGGGCTGCATGCATAATGGGGCGGGGCTGCATGCATAATGGGGGCGGGGTTTTTCCCTTTAACATAGATGTGTATAAAAGGGTGGGGAGGGTCCTGGGCACCCCCTTTCTCTATCGCATGAGTTATGCAGAGTGGGTGTACGGGGCAATCCTGACTCTCCGGGATTTTGATTCGGACATACTTTTTTCCTGTTAGTATAGTTGTTCGTTACTTCACGTGGAATGAGGGGGTTTTAATACATCGCAGCTCAAGGGATCCCTGGGGACCTCTGGAGACACCCAAAGGATACAATAAGCTGTTGGACTTAGATGGAGAAATTCACATATGAAAATGTAAACTTGAAAATGTGATAATATGTCACAGATTGTGTGTAACGTCATTTGATGGCCGTATGACATTTACATGGAGCTCCACCCCCCAATCAGTGTACTCCCCGCCCTCTTTGTATTGGGTGGAGTGAATTGTTATCGCGATCCTTCTGTCTCTTCGGGATAATGATGACACTTCTCACTGTGTTTATCTCCAGGTGTGCCGGCTGTATTCGTGACGATCTGGGCGCGGGAGAGAGCCACGTTTGCAGATACAGAGTGAGTACAACTTCCTTCCCCGATACACAAAGACACGTCATACACCCCGTGGTGTCCTCATTGCACCGGAAGATGTTTCACTGATTTAAAATGAAAAATCGGTCGGGATTCCACCCGTTGTGGACACTGAATGTGCTGCAAATCAGAGTACACAGAGGTGGGCAGTTCATCCTGTCCTCCTGCTCCGCTCCCCATCACATGGATGTGTATGGAAGTACGCTGAAACAGGCTAAAGTGTCACTGGGGATCACAGAGATACAAAGTAACATTGTTTATAAACATCGATCAGACGGGAGATAGAGATACAAAGTAACATTGTTTATAAACATCGATCAGACGGGAGATAGAGATACAAAGTAACATTGTTTATAAACATCGATCAGACGGGAGATAGAGAGATACAAAGTAACATTGTTTATAAACATCGATCAGACGGGAGATAGAGATACAAAGTAACATTGTTTATAAACATTGATCAGACGGGAGATAGAGATACAAAGTAACATTGTTTATAAACATCGATCAGACGGGAGATAGAGATACAAAGTAACATTGTTTATAAACATCGATCAGACGGGAGATAGAGATACAAAGTAACATTGTTTATAAACATCGATCAGACGGGAGATGGAGATACAAAGTAACATTGTTTATAAACATCGATCAGACGGGGGATAGAGATACAAAGTAACATTGTTTATAAACATCGATCAGACGGGAGATGGAGAGATACAAAGTAACATTGTTTATAAACATCGATCAGACGGGAGATGGAGATACAAAGTAACATTGTTTATAAACATCGATCAGACGGGGGATAGAGATACAAAGTAACATTGTTTATAAACATCGATCAGACGGGAGATGGAGATACAAAGTAACATTGTTTATAAACATCGATCAGACGGGAGATAGAGATACAAAGTAACATTGTTTATAAACATCGATCAGACGGGAGATAGAGATACAAAGTAACATTGTTTATAAACATCGATCAGACAGGAGATAGAGATACAAAGTAACATTGTTTATAAACATCGATCAGACGGGAGATAGAGAGATACAAAGTAACATTGTTTATAAATATCCAGGAACCCGGGAACTCAGCACAGGGATGGTGGGAACCCCTCATAATAGGCACAGCGGGTGTAAAGAGCTAAAAACTCAGAGGTCCCAAGGGGCAATGGAAACTGCCACCAAAGTATTTACCAAATACTGATCCTGGGTGGACAGATCCTTAAAGTACCAACGTACGTTCCCCGCCCCACACCCTCTTTACATCATAGCCCCCCCTTTCATACCAGAGACCTCAGTGCATCAGAAGCCCCCCGTCATATCACAGCCCCCCTTCAACAAAGTATATAGTACAATGGATTCAGTGAGCCCGACTCTCAGCTGAACGATTGACCAACCGACTTGTTTCAGAAATACAGCGACTCCGCCCCCCTGAGACTCGCAGT